AAATGAAATACAAAAGCTATTCACAGAAATAATCCAGAAGAATTTCACTAATTTAGCAAGGGGTAAAGACTCAGATGTATGAGGCATACAGAACCCCAGCCACCTACAACCCAAACAGAGCTATACCAAGGCATATAATAATCAAAATTCCGTAAATCCAATATAAGAACAGAATATTAAAAGCCGTTAGAGGCAAGAAACAGATCACTTACAAGGGAACACCCATCAGAATTACAGCAGACTTCTCACCACAAACTATCAAATCTTGAAGAGCGTGGGGGGAAATAATTCAAACTTTGAAAGATAATAACCTCCAGCCAAGATTGATATATCCTGCACAAGTGTCCCTAGAAATTCATGGAAAAACAAGGTGGTTCCAGGATAAAGAGGAACTAGGGGAATTTGTAACCACCAGTTCAACTCTACAGAGATTCCTGCAGGATATTCTAAAAATGAAAAATACCAAGATTCCAGAAACAGTGGCAGAGCGGCCACAATGAATGGAGCAGAAAGTGAAATGAAGAAGACAAATTGACAACTAATGACAGAAAAAGAGTAATGAGGCAGAGAAGTTTGGATGGTAGGAACAGCCATTTTGGAGAAAACAAGACATCATAATAGGTAGTGCTGATTTAATATCCTCTTGTTTTGAAGTCCCATCAAGCTTTTGTTCTTCTGTCTCCATCGGTTTTAACATGTTGTATCTTATTGGATTTTATTATATGTGATAATATAAACAAAAACTTTTATAGACAAGGAGATTATACAGAAACCATTGTTCATTTTGTGTTAGTTGATTCTAAATATCCTGTAATACTGTCATTCTCTTGAACGGTTTTACATTGTCTTGATACGTTTGATGCTACAGTATACGAAGTTATACCCAAAGATTTTAAGGGAAGAGACACTATGGTAACTACTATTATGTCGAGATTATCTTGTGGTGAAACACTATTTTGTTTAAATGGCTATGTTTTGACCTGTGCTGTTTTGTTGTTATGCCCTCTTTTTTTATGTCAATCTCCTTTTTATTATCTACTTTTACATTTTTATCCTTTTAACTAAGGGAAAAATAAATTAAAAATAGCAGGATATAGTATAGTAACCCACTTTGATTTCCTATTAACTTGATTTGAAACTCTGTATTGCTCTCACCATCTTGTTTTGACTGATTTTCCTCTATTCTGTTATGCTTGATAGTACTGAGTTTGAAAGTATAGGCAACAACTATGAAGACAATTAGATGCATTATGATGCCCATTCTGGTTGACTATTGTCTTCTTTTGAAGTCCTCTAATGTCTCCAATGTTTTGGTTTTATTGGTCTTATTCTTTACTGTTTTGTTCAATTTTATTATAACTGATGATATAGGCAATTCTTTTTAAGATAACTAGAGGCATTATGGTAACCATTGTTGATCACCTTGTATTTTGTTTTTTATATTATGTATTATGTATTATATTGTGTATTATGTCCATCCTTTTGATTTGACTGACTCTGTCCTGTTATGTCACATTTGGTTTTACTTTCTTCAAAGAAAAAAAGTAATAAGAACTGTGGGAGTAATAAAACCAAAATGTGTAATTGTCATTGTACAAAAGAGAGGAAAAGAAAGTGCTCTAAAGGATATAACTGCATATATATTTAATTGTATAAGATAGATAACCATATTACTGAGTTTTGTTGGATCATTGAACAAAACTGTTTCCAGTCTCACTGTTTGAAAGTCCCCTCTATATGTTTTAATTTTGTAACTTCAACAATTATTTCTAAGATGACAATATGTAATTAACTAGTGATTTCCTACTGTTTATTTTTTCTGAAATTTTGTATAACTTATACCCTTGTTCTGTTTTTTTTTCTTTTTTCTCCTTAAATAAAATTTAAAAAAATAAATAAAATAAAAATAAAATTTGTAGTTTGATCTCTCATTCTAAGAGTATTCTTAATTTGTTTCTGCTTTTCATTTCTAATTTCATTCCAGCATTGTGTAAGAGCTTTCTTTTCCTGACTTCCACTCTACTGACTAGGTTACATTCTATATTGCTGGTCTCAGCCTGGGCCACATGTGTGAAGAGTTGACTTGTTCTGACAACAGTGTGCTATGTATTTCTGTGATAAAACATCCACTAGAATCCACCTGATACGTTACTTTGAGTTGTTATCATTGTGATTTTATGTTGACTTTAAAGATTGTTCTGTCTTCCTGAGCTGTCAGTCACTGATAGATTTGTTATGAATTCTTAAATATACTTTATAAATGACTGATTTTTCTCTTCCAATCCTGTTCCTGTTTTGGTAGTTAGTTCTCTTTATAGTGGGATATGTACTAAGGAATGATAATTTGTTTTTAAAGAACTGCAGACTATACACATGGAATATAGTCAAACTTATGTAGCTTCAGTAGATTTGTTGAATCAGTGCCACCCAGGTATGTCTTTTTTCACAGCTTTCTATTTAGTGTATCATCATCAGTGTCTACATAATAACCACTGCTCTCCAGGTGGTGTATTTGCCCATTACATAGTTTTCTAGCTATCAATCAGCTTTGCCACGTGTTCTCTCCATCCCTTTTAATGTGACCTGTACTCCTGATAATGTCACCTGCTCCTTTGATAGGCTGCCCTGTTCTCCTTTTGGTGAATTTGGCATTACACAACTGTTGGTTGTGGATTTATTGCACTGATATTTGCAACTGTAGTTTGCTTAGCACTATTATTGATACTGTCTCATCATTTCATGTTGAGAGACAAGCAGATATAAAAGAATAAATACATGAATTGCAATTTATTGTTTTAATCATTTAAAGAAAAGCTTATTCTCAAAAGTTTTTTTGTTTAGATTTAGTGATAACAATGAAAGCGTCCTACATGTATTCAGAAAGTTTTACCACTGGATCTTAGGCAAGAAGTGAAAGTAACCAGATGATAAAATCCTTTCAGATCAGAAGGTTTTATTACATTATTGATGACAACTCTTCTTTGGAAAATTTCCAAAATTTCCAATGTGTGCTTTTTCATGGAGACTGTTTCATTGTTGTTTTGGGGTGGTTTTTTTTTTTTTTTTTTTTTTTTTTTGTTTGTTTGTTTGTTTTGTTTTTCTTCCTTTTTACTTTTCAGCAACTGCTTCAAAAATTGTGTAGAGAAATATTGTGTGAGGTTTTGTGGTATTTCTCAATTTAATCATTTTTTGCTTTTGTTCACCAGGGCTGGTATGTGAATCAAGGCCAAAGTTCTTTCTCATTTAGTCTTTTGGTCACAGTTTCTGACTCTTTAATTTCACTTGAAAAGAATCACATGTATTCCCAGGAATAATAGCACAAAATATTTTCTAGACATTATAAAGAAGTACCTTTTCTGTGGATTTTCATAAACTCCATAGTAAATGTGTTTGTGGAATTTAGGAGCTGAGTGTTGATTCAGTAAATCTAATTATTTTGTTCTTAAACGCTTCAATATTTGGTGGTTTTCACAAACGTGATTTAGATTTTATTTTCTATTCAGTATTTCTCCTGAGTCAATAAGTTTTTGATTAGTTTTAGATTTGTGCTCATTGATCTTTACTCTGAATGTAAAATCTTTGTTTCCAATAAATGTTTTCTTGTTTAATTCCCATCTTCCTACATTTGTTTTTTCTAATTTTCTTGGTTGCTTGCATTTCTTCTGAGGAATCTTTTTCATTAACTGTGTGTTTTGTAGTATAAATTACATAGTCATTTATGTTTCTCTTTTCCATTTCAATGCACATAGGCAAGGAGATTGTATAGTCCAGAATTCTAAGGACATAACTGTTTCTCTCTGAATGTAAATGAAATGTATTGTGCTTCCTTCCTGAGAGGCACAACATGAGCTGAATTGTGCAACAATATTCTGCTTCCATTTGGATGTATTGAAGACTGTCACCTTTTCCTGAGATCAATTTGTCCAGCAATATGAATGTTGAACTTTGGATGTTTTTCCTGTTTATTATGCAAAATATTTCCTTGCTCACAAGTGTTAAACATTTGTAGGCTTTTTTTCTAACTTTCATCTATAATTGTTGAAAAAAATCAAAGGTGTGTTTAATTGTGTGAAAAAACAAAGTTTGGGTGTTTTGGTATTGGAAATTGAACTCAGGACTTTGCATATATCAGCCAGATGCTTGTACCACCAAGATGTATCCCTGGTACAAAGCTGTGATTTGTAAATGCCTGAATTAATTTTAGATTTCATTTGGTGATGGAGTTTGATGAATGGCCTCACTTTGTAGTCTGAACTGTCCCTATTACATAGCCCAGACTGGACACTACACATGGCATTGCTGAAATTCCTGGTAATTCTCTTACACCAGCCTCTCAAGTTTAGGGAGAACAGGCCTGTGCTATCCCAGTGGGCTGAACTCTTCCTTCTGTATTTGTGACCAGTTACTTTGCTATACCTCCATTTTCATTGCATTTCCAAAATATTCTTTCCCACATTGTCTTCCTTTACACCCAAGTAGAATTTCTAGTATTCAAGTACAAGGAGATAATCTGGTGTTCCTGGGCTATAGGTTTATAACTAATTTTCCCTAATTTCCTTGTCGAAAGAATGGTCAAATAAACCTTTATTTTCATTAAATTTTAGTAATTCATAAATCTCCTTTCATATTCAACTAAGTATTTATCTAAGAAACCAGTTTCAAGAGTGTAAATGCTGTCTAGAAAGAAAGATGAACTCAGTGTTATGAATAACCAGGTGTTTTTTCTGTTCATTTGCAGGCTCCCTCTTTGAGCTCTTTAAAGTCAGTAAAATATAGGCAGCTCTGCAAGTCAAGGCATGCTACACTTCTGTGGTGCTTTGGCAGTGTGTTACAGTCTAGCATCAGTGTTACTGAGTGACTATATTTGAATGCACTTTTGTTTTGATGACCGTGACATGCAGTCAATTCTTGAAAGAATGACCTTAAGTTAGACATTTTATAAGTGAACCTGAGATATATTAGTTATGTTTCTAACCTCGAGTACTCTTGTCATTATGTAGGAGACAGTGACCTTTGAGGATGTAGCTGTGAATTTCACCCTAGAAGAGTGGGATTTGTTGTCTCCATTCCAAAAGAAGCTCTACAGAGATGTGATGTGGGAAACATATATGAATATTACTGCAGTAGGTAAGTATGATGTTTTGTTTATTTATACAAAGAGCATTAATGATTCCTCAGTGATATAGTTTAATATATTTGATAATTATAATATTGGTTTTTATATCTCAGGTCTGATTATATGATACCATGAGTATAACTGGAACCAGTGACATTTTAATGTAATGTTGTAGTGAGTTTTTTATTTGTATGTCTGTAATACAGGAAGAATATTGTATAACCAGCAAATTAAAGAAGAGGACAAAAATTGCTCAAGAAATCTAAGGTAATTGACACACATAAGAGAAAGGGAATATTTCTTAAGTGTCAGTATTTGAGCATGAGCATTGCAACAAAGGAACTTGAAGGAATGAGATCACGTTACACTTCATTTAAACTTAGAAAAATATCAAGAGATACACTTGTTTTTACTTTGTTTTATTTGGGAATCCATATAAAAGTATTTGAATGTAGGAATCAGAGGTAGTGCTGACACTACATAACAAAAAACACTATCAAATACATCAGTTTAAAAGTTGCCTTCATAACATCAGGGGAATGTATGAGAGTAAATTTAAATATAGTATCTTAACATGTAGGAAATGAAAATAACTGTGAATTTTGATAGAAAATCATCTTCAAAATGTCCATTTATGTATACAGGTGAATACTGAGACTTTCATGATGTAAAAAATGTTTTACATAGATTCAGTTTTCAAAATGCAAATGAATGTTACTGTTTATAATAAGGACTTTGAAAATATCCTATAGAATGTTGAGCTTTTCATGTTTAAATTTCCTCATACATTGTTGATTTATACATAAAATAGAAACATAGTAATAAATATTCAGAGGTCTCAAAGTTAAAATAATGTTTCATATTTTTTAACATGTACATTCATCAGTACATAATTTTGTTTTTTACTTTTGAGCCATGATTTTGTACTGTAGCTCAGGTTGACTTTGAACTTACAGTGTATCCCATACTAGCCAGAGCATCCTCCTACCTCTACTTCCTGACCTTTGAGTGAATTGTACTGTGTCATTATGTGCATTTGTTCTCAGTATATTATCAAAAATATTAAAATCATCAAATGATAATAATCCACACAGTGTGTTGTTTAATGCAGCACATGAAAGGACATTTACAATCTCTGATATAAGAATAAATTTATAGTAGCTAAGCTTTGGGAAGAGCCCAGATGCCCATCACTAGTTGCCAAGGTAAAGAAAATGTGGAGTCAGTTCATCATGGTGATGCATCCTTGCAATCCCAACACTCTGGGAGGTTGAATCAGCAGGATGGCAACCTGATGCTCAGGCTGAGTAAGTTCATGGTCCATAAGAATCTCTCTCATAAAAACAAATAATGCATCAGCAAATTTACTTAAGTCCAAGACCTGTGTTTAACTCTACACTGAAAAAATATGCTATACAAAGAACCATATGGCTTTTTCTGTTTCCCAAGGAACAAATATAGTTGGACCTTAAGTGAAAGAAATCAGACACAGTAATGGAAATATCACAGGTTTGCTTCTAAATGGGATGTTAATAATGTATAAGAGGAGTAAAAGTAAAGAGAGATAATATGAGACCAGAAACCCTTACTTTCTGTAGAAGAGAAAGATGATCAGGCTAAATAGATGCTGGGGAGAATGAAGACATAAGGAGCTAAAAAAAAGTGATCAATATTTGATAGTCATTTGTACCAATCCTAAAATGATATTAGGTATCAGAATCATATACCAATTTAAAATTCTCAAATGAAAATCATCCTCTTTAGAATGAATACTACTTTGAAAGAAGTACTGCGGGGCAGTGAGTCAGTTAACTATCAGGATTACTTAGCAGGCATCAAATAAGACTAGTCATCATAAATCTCAATTGTTAATGAGGAGCTTTTCCCATTGTGATTGATATCTTTCTTTGTATTTCTGTACAGATATGATGAAAACAATTGTTTGAGAATTGAACAACAGCAATATAATTATAATGAAGATGTAGAGACCTGCAGTGACTTCCAGTCCTTTCAGAAGCATGAAATGAGGAAGACTACAAAAATACCCTGTCAATATGGGCAATATGAAGAGGTCAGATCTGATCTTAGCGAAGAATCTCACACTGGGCAGAAAATCTTTGTAGGTAACAAAAGTGTGAAAGCCGACATAACACCTAACAGTGTTCAAATCCATGAGACAAACCACAGTTTGGGAAACTCATATGTACAAAAACACTATGAGAATAGTTCTATTTCTTCATCCAATATTGAAAAACCTGTTAGAAAGTATGGTAGAGAGAGACATCATATAACTGAGAAATGTGCAAAAGCATTATCTCACAGTAATTTCTTTAAAAAACATAAGAAACTTCACACTGGAAAGCAATCATATGAATGCAAGCAAAAGGGTAAAGTATTCAATAAACTCAGTAGCTGTCAAAGAAATAAAAACATTCACACTGGGCAGAATGCCTATGTATGCAACAAATGTGGCAAAGCATTCAGTACAGCCTCTAAATGTAAAGAACGTGATAGAACTCACACTGGGGAGAAACCCTTTGTATGTAAGCAATGCGGGAATTCTTTCAACCAAAAGGACAGGCTTATTACACATGAAAGAATTCACACAGGGGAGAAACCCTATGTATGTACCAAGTGTGGGAAAGCATTCAGTAGAGCCTCTGCTTGTAAACTACATGATAGATCTCACACTGGGGAGAAACCTTTTGTATGTAAGCAATGTGGGAAATCTTTCAATCAGAAGTCTAGCCTTATTACACATGAAAGAATTCACACAGGGGAGAAACCCTATGTATGTACCAAGTGTGGGAAAGCATTCAGAACAGCCTCTGCTTGTAAAGACCATGATAGAACTCACACTGGAGAGAAACGTTTTGTGTGTAAGCAATGTGGGAAATCTTTCAATCAGAAGTCTAACCTTATTAAACATGAAAGAATTCACACAGGGGAAAAGCCCTATGTATGTACCAAGTGTGGGAAAGCATTCAGAACAGCCTCTGCTTGTAAAGACCATGATAGAACTCACACTGGAGAGAAACGTTTTGTGTGTAAGCAATGTGGGAAATCTTTCAATCAGAAGTCTAACCTTATTATACATGAAAGAATTCACACAGGGGAGAAACCCTATGTATGTACCAAGTGTGGGAAAGCATTCAGTAGAGCCTCTGCCTGTAAACTACATGATAGATCTCACACTGGGGAGAAACCTTTTGTATGTAAGCAATGTGGGAATTCTTTCAACCAAAAGGACAGGCTTATTAGACATGAAAGAATTCACACAGGGGAGAAACCCTATGTATGTACCAAGTGTGGGAAAGCATTCAGAACAGCCTCTGCTTGTAAACTACATGATAGATCTCACACTGGGGAGAAACCTTTTGTATGTAAGCAATGTGGGAAATCTTTCAATCAGAAGTCTAACCTTATTACACATGAAAGAATTCACACAGTGGAGAAACCCTATGTATGTACCAAGTGTGGGAAAGCATTCAGTATAGCCTCTGCTTATAAAGCCCATGATAGAACTCACACTGGAGAGAAACGTTTTGTATGTAAGCATTGTGGGAAATCTTTCAACCGAAAGTACAGTCTTATTAGACATGAAAGAATTCACACAGGGGAGAAACCCTATGTATGTACCAAGTGTGGGAAAGCATTCAGTATAGCCTCTGCTTGTAAAGCCCATGATAGAACTCACACTGGAGAGAAACGTTTTGTATGTAAGTATTGTGGGAAATCTTTGAACCGAATGTACAGTCTTATTAGACATGAAAGAATTCACACAGGGGAAAAGCCCTATGTATGTACCAAGTGTGGGAAAGCATTCAGTATAGCCTCTGCTTGTAAAGCCCATGATAGAACTCACACTGGAGAGAAATGTTTTGTATGTAAGCAATGTGGGAAATCTTTCTACCGAAAGGACAGGCTTATTAGACATGAAAGAATTCACACAGGGGAAAAGCCCTATGTATGTACCAAGTGTGGGAAAGCATTCAGTATAGCCTCTGCTTGTAAAGCCCATGATAGAATTCATACTGGAGAGAAACGTTTTGTATGTAAGCAATGTGGGAAATCTTTCTACCGAAAGGACAAGCTTATAACACATGAAAGAATTCACACAGGGGAAAAGCCCTATGTATGTACCAAGTGTGGGAAAGCATTCAGAACAGCCTCTGCTTGTAAAGACCATGATAGAACTCACACTGGAGAGAAACGTTTTGTGTGTAAGCAATGTGGGAAATCTTTCAATCAGAAGTCTAACCTTATTATACATGAAAGAATTCACACAGGGGAGAAACCCTATGTATGCAACAAATGTGGGAAAGCATTTAGTAGTGCCTTTGCTTGTAAAGCACATGATAGAACTCACACTGGGGAGAAACCCTTTGTATGTAAGCATTGTGGGAAATCTTTCAGTCAAAAGCCTTACCTTATTAGACATGAAAGTATTCACACAGGGGAGAAACCCTATGGATCCACCTAGTGTGGGGAAGCATTTAGAAGAGCTTCTGTTTGCAAAGCTTATGAAAGAATTGACATGGATAAGAAACACTTTTTATCCAACAAATGTGAGAAAGCATTCAATACAGTGTCTGGCTGTAAATTACATGATAGATTTCACTGTGGGGAGCAACCCCATGTGTGTAAACAGTATGGAAAATCTTTCAGTCAATGTGATATCCTTAGTATACATGAAAGAATTCACACTGGAGAGAAACCTTTTGTGTGTAAGCAGGGTTTTAAATCTCTCAAAGTTCTACCCTTGTTCATGAAAGAACTCACAGTGGGTAGAACCTCTATGTATACAACCAATATGGCAAAGCATTCAGTATGCAGAGGTGCTAAAATAAACCCTAACTATGTAAGCAATTTGGGATGTATGTAAGCAATTTGGGATGTCTTTCAGCTATAGTGGTAGCTTTTGTGTATATGGAAGAATTCACTCTGTAGAAAACCCTAACTATATGAGAAACGAGTACCTGAATTTGTTGACAAATTTGCACTTCATAAACATAAAAGATCCTTGGGGAAAAAAGCCTATGAACATAAGGAATGTAGGAAAACTTCCCACAACTAGAGAGATCATTGCTACATAACAGAACTCCCTCTGTGTAGTAAATGCGTAGGCATTTCAACAATGGGTGACAGCATTTATTGCACAAAAATGCCATCAAATAGGAGAATAATGCACACAAGGAAGAAACTATGTACGTAGGCAAAGTAGAAAAGATATGTTGCAGTTTTTCCCTTTTCCAAACATAAGATTCCTTCACACTAGGGAGTAACTGCACATAAGAAATATTTGAAAAAAATTTGAGATGACAGAGGTGCTAACATTCTGAATGATGTCATATTGTGGCCTGAGCCTATGTATGCAATGTGGGGAAAGCATTCAGTATACATAGTCATTGTCAATCCTGTGAAAATAATCATAATAAAATGAAGTCATATGTACATAAGTGACCATTTTGAAAATAACTCATAAATTACTCATGGAGAGGAGACCTGTAAAAATAATGTATAATTAGTGCTGTAAATATATGTTCACAGAATTTTTGGAAAACACCCTTAAGCACAGAGTTATTAAAAAATGTTTTGTTTCTTTTTTTATAAATCACACAGAAATATCTGATCTATTTTTGTAGTCTTAATAAAAAAGTACAGTGTTTAAAGGAAATTTAAGTATGCTGAATCTTTTTTCCCATGTTCTTTATCCACCACTATTTTGTCTTATTGGGTGACATCCAATCTTCTCATGACCACTTTTCCCACCAGAATCTGTAACTCTTGTGTCAGCTTACCCTGAATGATTGATACATTCATATACAAAATTGTGCTTGTATTCATGGCCTGTATCTATGTAGCCATGCTTATGGTAAGATATACCATTACAGGATCTAAAGCAGACTCAGTCACTGTTAGAAATAAGAAAGAACTTAAATTAGGGAAAAATCTTATGTATGCAACAAATATACAAAATGTTCAATACAAAAACAGGTTCTAATATACATGATAGAACTCTCAATAGAGAGAAACCTTATGTAGGTAAACAATGTGGGAAATCTTTCAGTCAACATTGTAACCTTGTACATGAAATGAATGCTTTCTTCTATTTCGTGCTCCTCTCCATTTTTGAAAGATATATGCCCCTTCTTCCTATTACACATCATGTCCTTTTTTTTTTTTTTTTAATCGGTACCAGTGATCGAACTCAACCACCTGCTTACAAGGCAGGTGCTTATGCTGCTGAGCTAAATCCCCATCCCATACATGATGTACTTTATACAAATTTAAACTCCATCCCTCTTGTATTATGTCAGTCACTTATGAGTAGTAGAATCCTGAATAAGCAAGTGAATGAGGATTTCACACAAGTTCCTAAGGTTCAAGGAAAATGCATGAAATATAATCCCAGGATAGGAATGGGTGTCATCTCATGACACCAAAAAAACAGTCACCAGTATGCAATAAATAAGGTGATAATCACAAGTACGCAAATTAAATGTATGAGAATTGTAGTATTAATTTTTTTTGTGAAACAGTCTTGCTATGAAGTTCAAGCTGGTCTTGGGCTCACTTTTAAATCTACATTGATCTTGGGCTCACTTCGTAGTCTAGGCTGATCTTAGGCTCACTTTGTAGTTCATGCTGATCTTGAACTTGCCGCAATCCTTCCACTTTAGCCTTCCAAGTCCTGGGGTTACAGGCATGCACCACCATGCCTAGGTTGTATATATATATATATATATATATATAGTTATTTGTGTAACTTTCCATGTTAGTAATATGTAACTCTCCCTATTCAAAATATACTTTGAGGCACTTGGCATTTCTGCACACTCAATCCTGAGGTTACATATTGCTGACAAATTACTACAATGTAGTTCCTACTTTTATTTCCTTATTTTAGTGTTTCATCATGTTTTAAATGAAATGGTTCAGACTATGCTATGCAAGGTGGAGATTTCATATGATTTAAGCAGTATGGGAATCTGAGGCAAGAGAATTTCAACTTCGCAATTTAAACCCAAGCTTAGCAACTTGGAAACATAGTGAAAACCTGTCTGCAAATAAAAAATAGTGCTGGGGAGATAGATCAGTATAAATGTCCTGGATTCCAGTATCAGGCCTGAAAAGTTAAAATAGGCCTTGCTTCCTGATAAGGCAGTAAAACTACTGGTCTCATCTCACACTCTGAGTAGACCCAGCCTGTTGTCACCATCCCCTCTCAGAGTTTAGGAGTAATTTACAGAATACATAGCCTCAAATCACCGGAATACAGTTTCCGTGCTACTTACTGCATGTAGGTGTAAAATTGCAAAACATACAGTTATTCAGTCCCTGCCATGTAAAGACAAGAGCAACCTTATTTTAAGTGCAGTAATGTCCTTGTGGAGCATTTCAGTAGCCCAGATGTAATCCAAGAATGGCACCCATCACTTTGCTAATCAGTACACATTTTGGATCAATTCCCTGTCCCTTCAGTCTCAAATATTTGGTCTTTCTTCATCAGCTATTAGGACAATTCATTATGTGGAGTCTTTCTTTATATTTTTGCCACCGTGTTTTGGACCCAGGGTCATATGCTGAAGAAAAGCCTTAGAATCTGAGCATGGCTTCTGGATGACTGCACCAGAGAGCAGGAATCAAATACAGAAGCAAACAACCTAGAGGCTAGAAATGTAAGTGTGGGGCCAGGTGTTCTGAGCTGGACAAGGATTGACTAGGTGTTATCTGATGAAGTTGGAATCTCTCCATGAAATCTGTGAAGTTTGTGATCTGAGCTCTGTACTGGCTTCAACCTGATCCCTTCAGGTCTGTGCCATGAGGCTTGACTGGCAGTGGGGACCCCATTGCCCATCCTTTTCCTGATTGAACCTCAGCCTCATGCAAATTGGCACCCATTCAGCAAATTCTCCTGCAGTTCTGTGTCTTGACATTCTTTATGGTGACTTCATTAGTATATGTGGAGTCTACAGGGTCATCTGCAGTTTCTACATTAAAAAAAGTATTTTTTTCCTCCATGTCTAGTCCCTCATTTGTCTTAAGATCTGTCCTGATTGCTCTCAATTTACTGAATATTTTGGAAATAAAATGTCAAGTCCATGAACTGAATACACAATCAAGCATTTATAAGGTAGGGATTAAGTTTCCATTTTCCAGATAATTTCCACATGGACATACACAACATATGTGGACTGGGTTTCCAGAAAATGTGGAAGCTGTTTCCCTCTCTGACTCAGTCTGTGCCATGGAGTGCTTTTTAACCTTGTTTCACAAACATGAATACTGACTGAGTTAGAAAATGATTTAGTGGAAATAGTACAGAAATTTGGAGATACAGAGAATGTGTAATGTACCAGCATCTTAATCATAGGCAAAAATAAGCACAAAAGAAGAACACAATAGTGTAGGACATAGGGGATGATGGAGCATGGAAATATCATCTCTGGGACCAAGGAAGGTCTTCTTCAGGTCAGCCTTTCTTAGGGTGAAAATAAAGCCTGGGTCTTGACTCTTGATGAGAGGAGATCATAGAACCTATACCTGAAGATCCAATGGAAATTTAGGGGGTAATCTGTTGATATCAATCCTCCAATCATTGTATTTACAATGCTGAATTCAAACGGTGCAATTTTGGCAAGAAAGAATCTGGCTGTAGCAAATCTGAATGTGAGTGTGTGTGTGTGTGTGTGTGTGTGTGTGTGTGTGTGTGTGTGTGTGTTGTGTATTCATCTGATTCTAATGGGGAAAAATTTGTATCTCCAAACCAAAATCAACTGGAGTTTTTAATCTTTGCTAGATAGATAGCTAAATGGCAATATTAAGATAGTTAATATAGAGGACTAGGGATTTAGCTCAGCAGCATAAATGCCTGTTTTGCAAGCATGCAGTCATGAGTTCAATCCCCAGTACCAAAGGAAAAAGAAAATAGATCATTAATACATCTTTCCACATGCATAGAATCTCTAAGTGATTTTATAAGTGTATGTAAATTACACAGGATATTGGATTACATTTTGGTGCACTTTAGCTCGCATACAACATACATTGGTTTTTATGGAAGTTACAATATTATTTATTGTTACAATTGAGTTATACTTAATAATCACATTCATCACAGGTAGATTGTTCCTGTACATGATGTATCTTGATTCCCCCTTTTTTCATTCCTTTTTACTCTGTGCAATTGCTCTTTCCCTTCTTGTTGTCAATGATTTGTTGTTTTTTCAATCTTTTCTCATTTTTCTCCTTCTTTTTCTTTCACACTCCTTTAGTTTTCTTTTGTTTTTGAACAACTGTTTCTATTTCATTATATCTATTTTGCATTTGCTTTCTGCTTACAACTTCAAATCTTCTCACCAATGAGACATTGTAACCTTAATACAAGTTCTTGTCATTTATTTCACTGAAGGAGATTGTGAAGGGTCCATCATTTTAGCTTTTAATGTCTAAGTGTATCCTTAATGGCTAAGCATCAGACCATTATGTAAGATAATCATGTCTTTTTATATCTCCATCAGTTGATGGGCATTTGGGGTGTTCCCAAGGTTTAAGTATTACAAAATGTTGCCTTATAAACATGGGTACACATACATCACTGTGGTAAAATCTATTAAATTATTTTGGGAAAACACCAAGATGGACAACAGTTGCCATGAGTCCTGTAGTACTAGATTTGTTTTTAGGAATGTCTGCAATTGTTTTCCAAATTGGTGTGTCTGATTACATATCTATCAATAGTGAAAGGCTTCTTTCTTTCCCACATTACTCTTAGCAACTTTTATTGGTTTTGCTCTTGATCATTTCTCTTTTTCAAGTGTGAAATGGAATCTCAGAGTTGTTTTAATTTGCATTTCTCAAAAGGCAAATACATGGAACTTCTCTGCATATATTTATTTGCCACTTTATTTTGTCATCTGAGAAGAGTGTATTCATGTCAGATGCCCATTTTTTGATTCAGTCTTTAACTTTGGAGGTTCTGATTTTCTCCAATTTTATGTATGTTCCAGATAATAGTCCTTTGAGAGTAAATATCCAAAATTATTTTCCCAATCAATAGGTTTTGTTTTAACTTTAGCAATTTATTTTGTTGAACAAGAGCTTGTTAATAAGATGAGATCCCAGTTTTTTATTTTTTGTGATATTTCTGTGTGTTGTTGGTTCTGCTCATAAAGACTTTGCCTACACTAGGTGCTCAAATGTTCTGCCTATCTGCACTCCCAAAGGATTTTGTGTTTCTCTTTTCATAATTAGATGTTTTTAAAAATTTAGATCTTTGACCCATTTGTACTTTCATTTAGCACATGGTGAGACACATGGGTTGACTTTAATTGCTTGGTATGTGGAAATCCAGACTTTCAAGTTCTGTTAATTACTCAGTCTATCTTTCTTCCAGGGAACATGTTTATCTCCTTTGTAAAACATCAGGAGCTTGTCAGTTATTGGAGTCATTTCTGCATCTTCTAATCTACTCCACTGATCCTTTTATTTTCCCAGTATCTAATGATTTTATCACAGTGACTCTGTTATTGTTGCAAGTCAGAGATTGTGATGCACCCTGCCTCGTATTTGGCATCCGGGATTAATTTTGCTATTCTAATCATTTCTGGCCCAAATGTATGAATGTTAGGAATCTTTTCTCTGTTTTTGGATGGCATAATAATTGTACTATGA